GATATGATATAAAATGATTCAAATGTAAATGTTGATGGGGTATAGATTCTCTTACCTATTATAGTTACTTTTAGACTCATGAGTTCTAATGGGGATTAATATGTTAGTCTTGTTATATGCTACAAAGTATTCTGTTGTACCTCTACACTTTTGGATGTCCAGTGATCTATTCATTTCTATTTAGATGGTTTCCAGTTTAGGCTATTATAAAAAGTTATTTAATAGGGAAGATAAATACAAGTATTTGCATATATATGCTTTAATTTTATTGTATAAACACCTAGAAGAAAATAGCTGCATTATATGGTAGAAATATATTGAAAGTTCCCAGAAAGGTCTAAAATTATTTTCAAAGTTATTTTCCTATTTTAAATTCCTTTCTTCAATGTGCATTTTTTTTTTGCTTAATTGTTTTATAAAGTTTTCCTTATTAAATTTTGAGACTTCTTTTTAAGTTCTGAATACATGTCCTTTATCATATACATTATGTACAGATATTTTATCCAGATTGTAATTTATTTGTATATTTTTTAACATTAGTTTTTCAGAAGGGAAATTTTTTAGTCTTACTAAGATCTAATAATTATTTGACTACATTAAAGTTACAGATTGTTTTTCTCTAATGTGGTCTCCTAGATATTTTATAGTTTTATATTTGATTCTAAGATTCATTGGGATTAACTTTTAGCATATATTTTGAATTATAGGTCAAGGTTTTTGTTTTACATATGGATACTCAAAAGTTCCAGCTATCCTTTCTCCATTAAATGGTTTTTGCACATTTGTCAAAAAAAAATCTGTGTTAACATACATGTGTGAATTTAGTTCGGAATGATCTCTTTTGTTCCATTGATGCTTTTTAATGGCTATTCCAGTGTTAAGCTGACTGTACTACTGAAGCTTTAGAATAAACCTCAAGTTAGGCAGTACATGTTCAAAAATTTTAAACTATTCTAGGTCTTTGCATTTTCATAGAAATTTTATAGCCAATTTGTCAATACTGACATTTAATAGGCCTCTTAAAATTTGGGGGCAGGTAGGTTTCAGTTAAATTTTTACTATAATTTAAACATTAAGGATATCTTAATATTATCTTCTGATTCATTACATATACCTTTACTCCTTGATTTACATCTTCAAATTCTCTTAATGTTATTTTGCATTTTACACTGTATAAATCTTGAACATCCTAAATCAAATTTATTCACAAGTATTTTATATATCTAATTGTTATTAATGAAAATTTTCATTTCTATATTTTATTAGTTCATTTTAGTTATACATAATATTAGGGTTCATTTTAAAACAAATATAAAAGCATAGAATATAATTTGCTCTAACTCAGTTACCAATACTTCTCCTTTCCCTCTCCTACTCCCTTCCCCTGGTCCCTTCCCTCTAGTCTTCTGATCTTTCTTCTATTTAAATATAGTTATTTTTAATTAGTGTCTTCTGAATGTATATCATGGTGAGATTCACTTTGAGATATATGTATATATGTATGTGTGTGTGTGTATATATATATATAGTTCCTAGTATTTAGAAGTAAAATTTAGTTTTCAATTTTGATATTATATATTAAAACATGATAAGGTTTTTTGTTTTGATTTGTTTTGTTTTGTTACAAGGGATTGAACCCAAAGTCCTTAGCCACTGAGCCACATTCCCAGCCCTTTTTATTTTTATTTTTATTTTTATTTTTAGACAGAGTCTTACTAAGTTTCTTGGGATCTCACTAAATTGTTGAGGCTGTCCTTGAACTTACTATCCTCCTGCCTCAGATTCCAGAGCCACTAGGATTGCAGACATGTTCCTCTTTCTAATGTAGGAGCTTTTTTCCCCCTAACTCTGAAGAATTTTCTACATAGGTGATCATGTCTCCTACATATAGCAATTTAGTTCTTCCTTTCAAAACTAAATGAATTTCATTTTTTAATTTTATTTATTTTTTGTTTTGTTTTAATACACTGGCCAGAACTTCTAGTACAAAGTGGATCAGTTAGTGGTAACTGTTGATCTCCAGATATATACATTTCTTGCTAGTATATGATCCCACTTCACACCATCAAAATGGTGCATATAAATCTTATGTTATGAGAAAATGTTCATTAATTTACTTCTCATTTCATCTCATTCATTTGTAAAGTATTTTGTTATAATTTATAAATAAGAAGAATAAATAAAATAGGGGGACATTTAGTGAAACAAAAGTAGGAAAAGTAAGATCAATACATATCATAAGTTCATATAGCCTATGTTTTTCTTTAAGTACCTAAAACTGATATAGAGAGAGTTCACATATGTCTCTGAGTATTCCAAAATTCAAATGTAAAACTGGAGAAATTCTAAGTCTGAAGTGTGTGTGTCTGTGTATATGTGTGTGGGTGCATGCGTGCGCGAATGTACTGGTTAGCTGAATTGAACTATTAATAACTGAGTGTTGAGAGATAATTTCATTTATGGATCCCTATAAAAAAAAGCTTACATAATATAGGAAACAACCCATATTCCTATGTTTTTCAATCTTTTCATAGCATGCTCTTCTTTGATCTATCATTCTATTATTTATAATGTTTTATAACATTTTTATAACCTATAGACTAGTAGCATAACTCCAAATTTTTAAAGTAGCTTTCAGTTTTCAGAAATCATTACATGCTTAGCAAGCATGGCTTGAAGAAAACATGTATACAACCTCTGATTTTTAACTTCTCCCCACAAAAAAAGAGAAAATTTTCTCATTTTTTATGCATAGGATTTAAGTATAATTATAAGGACAATCATACATAAAATTGTATAGTTCATTTCTCTGGGTTTTGCTTTCTTCACCTAGTATTCTATAAGCATCATCCACATAGGTATAATTTCCTTACACGGTTTTCAACATCTGCTCTACAGTCAATATACTGAATGTATATTGTTACATAATCAATTTGTATTGCCACACATTTAGTAACTTGTTTTTTCCAATTTTTCAATATTGATAGAGTAATAAAATTATAACTCCATAGTTTTTTTATATTAAGGACTATTCCCTCAGGATAAAATAACAGAAAATTAAATGAAATTTTCTAGGTTCTTTATATGTATTTAAAATTTCAGATGTTTCAAAAGGATTGTGTTATTTTACAGCTCCACCAGTTATGTATGAGATTTTCCATCTCTTATCATTTTGTATTATTTTGAGTATTTATTTAATCACCAGGTAGGATAGGTTAACTGATGAATGCATAGTTTTGAATACTAATCATTTTGAATATTTTCCTTTGGTTCTATTAAACAGCTATTTCTCCTTTCATGTTTTCTTCTTTGCTTCCTTTGGTCTGTTTCAATTGTCTTTGGAATCATTCCTTAATTTACTTTCAATGCATATAACAGCACAATATTCTGGTTAATATTTAGTTATTTTAAATTGGGTATATAACTCAACTTACATGTGGAAATATTTATTTATAGAATAATAGATACAATAAGCAAGTGGAGCTTGTAATATGCATCAGCAAGCACATTTAATTCCAAACATATTTAAATTTAATGCCTACTGACATATCCATTTAAAACTGTAGTAGGATAACTATGACCTCCATTGAATAAAATTGTAGACAAACTCTTATTGATATTTTTGGTCACTGTTCATAAATAAAATGTTCTGTGACTTGTAGTGGTAAAAATAACCTCCATGTAAACTTTTAAAATTGATAATTACATATAATAGTCAAAATTCTTAATTCTCACTTATGGTTAATGTGTCTCTGCTCCAACTCAACCCTCCTTCAAGCTTACAGAGGGACAGGCATATATATTAATCTGTTCCTTTTGGGGGCTGGAGTTGAAACGTGCATTACAAACAGAGGGATCTTTTCAGCAGGGTACTGACTTGGGCTAGATCATCTGAGAAAGGGTCTCAGATGTGACCTTTGCTAACTCTGTGACTTTGGGAAAATAGTAACTCAGATTGTTCTCTGGGTTAAGTAACATACATAAACATAAGACTTTTAGAAGAGTGCCTGGAACATAACAAAGGTCACCTGTGAAATATTTATTACCTACCCTTTGCCCTTGAAGACATTACATTTCATTGCACCAAGCCACAATACTGCCTTTAGGATAGTAGCTGGGCTTAAAAAGGATAGAAACATTAGAGTAGAAAACATTTGCAATGTGAATCAATTTGATGTTAGTTTTCTCTGTCCCTAGTGCATGTGAAAAGCTGACTTTGTCTCTCATGAGCTCCTTATAGATCTTCAATAAACATGTAACCAAGGGTACCCTCTTTGGTACAAAGCAAATGCATATTAACACAACTCACACATCTTCTGGGCACCCGCTATTAATTTTAGCCTCATTCTTTTGCAGTCTAGTGTCATTATTTCTTATCATCTTGTATAGTAATTTTAATAACTTGAGTGTTGGAAACTTGCTTGAATGTTATTCATCACTAATATATTTACTCTGTTAACTATGGGGATATAACTCCCCAGATGCTGCCCTCTCATTTTCAGTTACAGACCTCTTACCTCAAGTCCAACTTGTCCATCTTTTGCCCCCAAAATAAGAGTCTATATCAACTTCCCAAATAGTAGCACTGAAGTCCTTCTCCTTTGATTTGAACTAATCAGAAAGCAGCTGTCATTGTTCCACTCTACCATGGATGGGGTGGAATGTGGGAGACCTACCAAAAATCTCTTAAAATAATTATTAGTTATTTTTAACTCTTCTCTCAATCTCTTGTATACATGTGGTACATGCCCAGCTAAGAGGCAAAGTTTTAGAAAACTTCTGCTACTCCTGTTATACGATCTAGCACCTCAAATTGAAAATAGGGATACTAAGCGTCTATTTTTGTGGGGTTATAGCAAAAAAAAGGGGGGGGGAATGCTTCTTAGCAAATGCTATTTTGAAGTATTTAATAAATATTTTCATTTATCCCATATTTACTGAGTACCTTATTATATATTCATAATTAATAAGCAAAAAAATGCTGCTCTTATGAAGCAGAATGATAATAGAGTAGTCACCATTTATTAAATTGTTTTGTGCCTTATAACATAGGATGTTGCTATAGTTTGAATTTTAAATGCCTCTCAAAATCTGTGTGGTAAAATCTTCCTTCCTGGAGTAACATAGTTGGAAGATGGTGGATGCATCATAAAGTGAGGCCTAATAGGACATCTTCAGGTCACTGGGGTTATAACTTGAAGGAGATTGTAAGATCCTAGTTTCTTCCTCTTTCTCTTTTTTGCTTCCTGGCCAAGAGGTGACTTGTTTTACTGTATTTTTTACATTCTCACCATGATGTATTGCTTTGTCACAGGCCTAAAAACAATGTGAATAACAGCAAATAAACTAAACTGTGATCAAAAACTGTTCTCTTTATAAGTTTATTATTTCAGATATTTTGTTATAGTAATGGAGAGCTGAATAATGCAGAAGCTACATTTATTCTAAATAGCATGATAACTCCGAGGATCTATTGACAGGACATTCCTATGTTTCTAATTTATATTGAATGCTGCTATAGGGCTATTAACACTAACCTCTGCCTATACTACTGCTCCACAAATATTCTCATGATGATTCCTTTCATTTGTTATGAAGAAACAAACAGAAATGTCAGGCTCAAACTTCTTGCAAGGTAACCATACGATAAGGATATAGGTGTTACTTGTTGCTTTGTCACTTGTGTTGATTATTGAGCATGCAGTTACTCAGGATGATGGAAAACAATAGAACTGAGACTCATGCAATTGCTTGTTAAAATAGAAAATGGATGGCTGTGGTTTTGTTTAGTGTGGTTTTGTTTAGGTTTTTGTGTTTCTGTCATATGTCAATCAGGTTGAGCATCAAGACTGGAAAAAAAGGACAGAGTTAACCCTCATGCTTTCATTTAAACACTGTCTCATGATTGAATGTTTGCAATTACTTGAGTAAAATATATAAAACAACATAAGCAAACTAAACACCAGTATTGTGTATAAAGCCCTTCACTATATTGTGCTTCTACTCATTTATGAATGTCACTATGATGTTTGCTTATCTCTCAACCCCAACTAAACTAAACTGAACCAAGACTTTGGACAAATGAAACTTCCATTTCATTACAAATGAAGTTCTGCTGGCATGTCTTAAATAACAAAAGATAATCTTTATAATCATTAAGTACTCATGAAATTAATGAACTAAATTTATCCAATACTTCCCCCCCACCGAAACAAAAAGGTACTTGGTATTCTCTAAAATATGTCTCTGAAGTTTTGCTTGTTTGGTCAGTTGTTTAATTTGAGAAATATCACAGATAACAATATTTTTAAAAATAAATTCAAACTTAAGGAAGTATCATCCATTCATTTGTCACATTGTTTGTTTCTACTAACAACTTGAATTCCCACTATGACCCTCTCTTTTGCCATTCTTAACCATTTTCTTGAGAAATAAGTAGTTGCATAAAGTCAAAGCTTGCTGTCTCCCTACCCAACAAAATAAAATCAATTATCATCAATTGGGAGGTTGCATTCAATTCTGAATTTTGTAACCAGAGATATGGAGAAGGAAATTACAGAATAGAAAAGCCACTAAGATGAAGGAAATAATATTTATGAGGGGAAAAAAACAATGAATAGAACTAGAATTTTAACTGAGTGAAGAATGTTGAAGAGTCATGCAATAACATGTAGTTTTAAATGCTTAAGTCTTTCTTTAGGTTTCAAAACTAGCTTTAAATTTCTACTGAGAACTAAGCAAGGATCATAGCGTAATTCATAATTTGTAAAAAAAATTATTTCTAATAGGAATTGGAATTGTACACACAGTGGGATATGGGAACTTATTGCTTAAAAAAGAAAATTCATTATTCTGAGTTGGATGTGCTTCTATAAACTGGGAGATAATTCAAGTCTACATTTTTTTCTCCATGGAATTCATTCCAAATATATATATATATATATATATATATATATATATATATATATATATATATATCCAAATATATATATACCTTTAAATAGAAACCTATTGCTTTTTTCTCTTCAAAATTCTATTCTGATATATTTTTAAAGAATCTAATTTCCCAACTATAACTAAAATATTTATTCTTTGTAATAGAATTATTTTTTATTGTAGCATTTAATTAGTTTCTTATACAGGAAAGTATTGTTACTTAAAGGTATAAAATATATACATACATAGATATATTCACATATATATATTAAGTTATTCATCCACATATTTCTCAGCAAATGTCAGGAATTGTCAAATATCTCATTAAGTATATTAAATACCATTATTATTTAAAAGACTAATGATACATTTAATGAAATTCTAAGAGGTACATTTTTTACATCATTTTAAATAAAATAGTTTCCTTAACAGTTTGATCTCAGTTATTACTACATAAAGGTTTCTAGATGGAACTAAGTATTATATGGCCCTCCAAAGCCCACCAATTTGATAATTTTCTATTATGGCATTTACACTTATTTAAGATCATTCAAGTAGAATGATCTTAAATAAGTGTAAATTATTTTTTTTACACTTTAAAAAAATATTTTTCAAAATATTTTTAAAACCACAAAAAAAAGTTATTTTGCTATTTAAATTTATGGCTCTCAAAACTATTTCCAAGAAAAATTCAAGGAAATCTCTATTAATCAGAACTCAAATATATACAACATCAACTTATGTTTGCAATATTTTCAAAGAAAGAGAAAATGGGTATAAAATACACTCAAAATTTAGGAAAAATATGTACCATGTAAGATTGATTTCAGATTAAAATATATCACATACACCTACTCCATCTATAGAATATAATTAATATTATAATCCCCTCAAAAATTAAATAACGCTTGGATCATTTTTACTTCATTACTATTTTGAAGGTAGAAGTTAGAGTAATAAAATTTTGGAAAATTTAAAATGAAGAGTTTCTGATTAGATATTCCTCAACTCATTAGAAAATGGAATTGAAAAACACATTTTATTTCTTGAGAAGTTTGATTAACTAAGGCAGTGTTATATCAAAGTTTAACTTTAATATATCACAATCAAAATTTCTATTTCCATTCTAACAATAAAGTCTTGATTACTAAGTGCCAAATATTCTTTACCATCCCATTTGTACTTTTTTTGCAAATATTTTCAAAAGTTTAGTTACCTCCACAGAAACCTGAGAAGAAAGGCTATTAAATATATCATTTAGATGATAGGGAGCACAAGGCAGGACCATTAGCTAATGATGTGATAATGAATAGTCTAGAAAGATACAAATTGAGTCACTGGCTGGTCCTCCTGCCTCCAAACTCTCTTAACATTCTTGCCACTGTGGTAAAACAAGAAACAATAGCCTTTCTTATATTCTATCTTCCAATATGGGTTTCTAATTCATAGGTCTCGGTCTACTTTGCAATGAAATAAAGATAATCTTCTTCAAACTCCATCTTAAATATTTAGATTCATGATGATTGTTTTATAATATTTTTAAAACCCATAAAGTTTGAGTCAAATTCATGAGCTTTGAAAGGGTTTCTTTATTGGATACTCAGAGGTATTATTTCCTATTCATTGAATATATTCAAGACTTTTGGTATTGTTACACCAATGACATTGAATGGGAAGTGATCGCTATTTGTGCTGCTTTTTAGTAAACGAGTTAATTTTGGGTGGAGGGTTACTTTTATTTTAATTTGGATTTGTTATATATGACAATAGAATACATTACATTCATATTACACATATAAGGCACAATTTTTCATATCTCAGATTGTACACAAGTAGAGTCACATCCTTCGTGTCTTTTACATGTAGTTAGAGAATTGATGACTATTGAATTCCACCATCTTTTCCTCCCCTTTTTCTCCTCCCTTCTCCTTCCTCCCCTTTTCCCCATTGCCCTATCTAGAGTTCATTTAATCCTCCCCATCCCCCCACAGCATATTATGGGTCAGCATCCTTATATCAGAGAAATCATTTGGCATTTGTTTTTTTGGGATTGGCTAATTTTACTTAGCATTATATTCTCCAGCTTCATCCATTTACCTGCAAATGCCATAATTTTATTTTCTTTTATTACTGAATCAGATTCCATTGTGTGTATATATTCCACATTTTTTAATCCACTCATCTACTGAAGGGCATCTAGGTTGGTTCCATAGTTTAGCTATTGTGAATTGTGCTGCTATAAACATTTATATGGCTGTGTTCCTGTACTATGCTGTTTTTAAGTCCTTTAGGTATAGACTGAGGGACAGCTAGTCCTTTAGGTATAGATAGTGGGACAGCTAGGTCAAACGGTGGTTCCATTCCCAGTTTTCTGAGGAATTTCCATACTGCTTTCCATATTGGCTGAACCAATTTGCAGTCCCACCAGCAATGTATGAGTGTGCCTTTTCCCTCACATCTTCACCAAACTTATTGTTGTTTGTATTTTTGATAACTGCCATTCTGACT